CACGTGCGCCTCCAAACAAACGGTGCGCAACCTGCGAGATTTTTCCCCCGGACAGGTGGCTGGGAGGAGTATTTCGCTGCGGCGTTTTGCTGGTGACGGCGGGCCTTGGCCGGGAGGAGGCTCCCAGGCCTACCGTCCTGACGGCGCACGCACGTGATCCCCCACAATGATCCCAGGCATTTGAGCAGGGGCCGACCGTCCCGGGATTCCGATGGGCATACCAGACGAGATGTTCTGGGAACCCAGAAGTGTTCTAAGAACAAAAGCCATGTTCTTAGAACGCTAACCCGATGTGTGAAAACAGGGCAGTCTGAGCCAGACATGTTCTGAGGACACTTCGTGCAGACCACAGAAGGTTCTTGGAACATTCTTCGGCGGGCCTGTAGGCGAGCCAGGACGCTTCGCCACTGCTTGAAGGCAAGAAGGACCTTTGGTGCGCGTTCTTCGGGCCCGCGGGGGGCGCTCGCGCCCGTGCCCGCGGGGCTCCTCCTTGGACCGAACCTAAGGCCACTCCACCGACGGGTTGGCCTCACGCGCACCGGCGGCTCAAAGGTGGGGCACCGAGGGGGTGGGGGCCCCGAGAGCGAAGGTTCCACCTGGCATTCCCTTCCCGTCCTCAGGGCCGAGAATCTGGGGGGCAACAGCTGTGGCGACGAGGGCATCGAGGGAGCGCAACAAGGCGAAAGAGGGGGCAAGGGATCAGTACATTCTCTTCGTATCCCCTAGGACCCAAACGTGAACCCCTGAGGTCTCGGCCAATTCCCAGAGACCAGCCTGTCATCCTGGGCAATATTTTGACGATCCAGGGGCTCAGCGAGGGTTCCCGGGGGCAGAAAGAAGGAAATAAAACTCTCGCCGCGATTATGAAAGGTGGCGACACCGGAACCCTGTCTTGGCGGCGCGCACCAAAGGGGATGGGGGGGTAAAATTTATCGGAAAAAGGCTGCTTCTGAGAACGCGCCGGCCGTGCGTCTGTGGACAGGGCCCGCGCCGTCTTAAAAAGAAGCCTCATACTAAGAACCCTTCCCCCCTCCCACCCCACCCCCCCAATTTGCGCGTGGCTGAACATCCCCACCAACACGATCCTCCTGCATCGACGGGGGCCGGGGGTCCGGGCTCCGACCTCGCTACGCGCTCGCCGCGCCCGTGGATCGGCGGACGAGGAGGAGGACGAGGAGGAGGAGGAGGAGCAGGACGAGGAGGAGGAGAAGGAGGAGGGGGGAGGAGGAGGAGGAGGAGGAACAGGAGGAGGAGGAGGAGGAGGAGGAGGAGCATCTCGCCGCCGACCTGTCCCGACGCGAGGGGCCCTTGAAGCCTCCGCGCCGCTCTGAGAACGCACACGACCTGCGCCAGCCGCGGACCGCGCGGGCCGGCGACACGCACGAGCGACCCTTGGGCAAGAGTGGCCTCTGGCGGCGCGCACAAATCGGGGGCGCGCAAACATGGATTAGCGATGTGTGGATTTGGCGCGCGGTCGCCGAATCCATGGATCGGGGGGGGCGCCCTCCCCACAATGCGGCCGGTGCCGACCCGCTCGGCGCCGGAAATCCGCAACTCTCCATGGAAACAGGACCCGTCGCTAATCCACGCCTCCTTGATCCATGTTTGCGATCGCCTGGCAGAAGGAGGCTGCTTCTGAGAAGGCGCCGGCCCCGAGTCTATGGAGAAGGCCCGCGCCGTCTGAGAAGCAAGGGGGGGGCTTCTGCCCAGACCCCGCTCTGCGCTTGGCCAAGGCCTTCCGTGCGCGAGGGGGCGCAGGGTGGCCCAGATCAAAGCGCGCAGAACCAGCCACTGCCGCATCGCGCCCAGCGATCCGGGGGTCCCCCCAGTGAGTCGCACCAGGGGTCACTCTGGCTAATGTTCACCCTTGCGCGTAGTCCGCCGCCACCGTCGCCGCCGCCGCCGACGACGACCTCGACCTCGACCTCGACGACGACGGGCACAAAGACGACGACGATGACGACGGCGACGGCGACGACGACGACGACCTCGGCCTCGACAGCGACGACGGCGACGATGACTACGACGACGACTGCGCGCAGTCGAGCGGGCGCCTCCCGGCCGCGCGGCGAGAACATCTTCGCCGAGCCGGGCACGTGCGCGCGGTGCTCCCCGCCCTGGGCTCCGTCGGGCGCTGGCGGGCCCGGGGCGCGGCGACGGCGGCGGCAGGCGGCAGGCGATCGCGGCGACCGCTGCTGCAAGGTGACGATGGACAGAAGAGTGTGGGGGGGGGACGATCAACAATAGGGGGAACACAAACCTACCTCGCTTTTGACCACCCTCGCTTCCAAGAGATACCAAACGATGCCAAGTTGCAGCCTGTACTGGTCAGGCCGCTTGACGAGGAGGCGCGTGGTATGGCTTGGTTTTGCCTGGAAGCGAAAGCGGGGTAGGTAATGCACGCTCTGAAACAATATACAGTCAAGCCGTATCAGAAGGATGCGTGGTAAGGATGCAAGGGCCTTGGAGGCTGATGTCAACGGTTTTCGGTCGAGGCTGGCCAGCGACAGTGGCCGAGAATGGGCCGAAGGGGCAAGGCTGCGAGGGTACCCTTGGGAAGGTTGCCCATCCTTGCTGTGCGGATTGACTGTATCGCAACTTGACGATTCACAGAAGAATGTGGGGGGAAGGTTACCACAATAGTTTTCGAATCTTCGGCTACCGCTTCGCTTCGGCTCCAGTCTGGCCCGTCGGCCGTCCAGGCGTGCGCCCGAGGAGGGCGGACGGGGGAAACAGTCAAAACATAGTTTCCCCGGTCTGGGGCCGATCTTTCTAATCATGATCCTAGGCGCCGCAGCGTGGGTGCGACTCTCCATATTTTCTCAATCCTCATGCTGCATTGCGACTGCGACGCCGCCTCGTCTCCATCAAGGCCCGAAGTCGTGCCCGAAGATCTCCCCGTGTGTGGCCGAAGCAGGCGACCGAACTTGTCCGAACTCGCCAGGGTGTTGCCGAAAGCCTTGGCTCTCGAAATCAAGGAAAATGTCATGGTCGGCTGATGTTTCGGTCACACGACGTCTTCTGTTACAATGTCGGGCACGTGTTCGGTCATCGGTTCTTCTGTTACATGCTGCTTCGGCTGATAGGGGCCGGGCGCCATGAAGACTGCGACGGCGGCTGCGCGAGGACATCACGAGGCAACTTTCGGGAGGTCTTCTGAAGACGGATCATGAGTTAATGAACACTGTGGAAACTGTAAAAACTGGAAGAGGAAGTGGTTCCATGGATGCCCGCGAGAAAGAGGAGGATGAGAAGGCGGAGGGGAAATCGAATGGAAACAAACCTATCGAAAAACAGTTCCTGTCCAGCCTGTGCACAACCGCCGACCCTGTCGTCGCCGTCGCCGCTCGCCCCCCTGCCCTGGGACCTCCTCCTCAAGCGATCCAACCGAACGGAAATCAACCACCGCCGCAATGGATTCAAACGGCAGCTCCTTCCGTCGATCCACTCTCTGGCGTGGGGGGGTGGCGGGCGGGGGTCCGAGGGGGGGGGCCCGGGGGGGGAGGCCCGGGGGGTGGTCCCGGTGGTTGTGGCCTCCACCCCGGGAGGTCCCCCCTCTGGTGCGCCCTGGGGGAAACAGGGTTGGTCTCCTCGCGGGCAGGGGGAACTCAGCCCCCGCCCCCCGCATCGGCCCCGTGGACAAGGGAGCCACGATCGCTGGGACTTGCCAAGTAACTGCGCTCACGGCCCCTGGCGTCCTGCCAACAGAATGCGGATGGGTGGGTTGGATGCTTGCTTGAACGTGAGACCAGAATTGGCAGCTTCGACTCATTCAAAACAAGCTCCACCGACAGGGCCTTCTAGGGTCCCACATGAAGATTCATTCTAGGACCCAACCCACAATTCCCACCCCGAGAGCCGTGTATTGTACACAACGTCCGACCCTTTGCGTCCCAAACTTTGAATGGCACTATAGGACCTGCGTTTCATAAGCTGCGCCCCGTAAAACTCCGCTCCATACGTGCACCTCTTCTGCTGCTCCCGCACACCTGCACCGTGTGTGCTCTACCACATGTGAAGGCGCCCTGGGACACACAAATAAATACACACAAATGAAACAATTCCCCATATTTTCCCATATTTTCTGGGTTTTTGTCTTCCCGCCCACTTCCCATATTTTCCCATATTTTCTGGGAATCGCAGATTAATTGTGTCTGTGTGTTTTTTCCTCTCCTGAACATGGGCTGCCCACATAATTTGCGGTCCATGATTTGTCCTACAGGAGTTGCAACAAACAGACTGCGCACTCCGTGCGTCGCGCAGAACATTTCACCCCGTCCGTTGATTTTTCCCCCTTGGCCCAAGTAATCTGGGGTAGGAGAGGGAGGAGGAAGAGGGGAAGGGGGAGGAGGAAGAAGAGGAGGGGGAGGAGGAGGAAGAAGAGGAGGGGGAGGAGGAGGAGGAGGAGGAGGAGGAGGAGGAGGAGGAGGAGGAGGAGGAAGGGGGAGGAGGAGGACCTCCTCATCCTCCCTTTCTTACGTCTGGTAGTGGTGGTGGAATCTTTGCCCATCATTCTGCGCTTTCCCCCCTCCCCTCCCCATGGAACGTCTGAACCGGCGAAAAAGTCTGCTCCGACCTCGACTCGGCGGTCCGGGACTTCGCAGGTCGCCGGGGGCGGACGACTTGCCATCGCTCGGACGTCCTTTCTCCGTGCATGTTTCGGTTTCGCGCGTTTGGTTTTGCACGATGGTCCAGGATGCTCCTCGATGGTCCTCGCCGAGAAAAAATGCACACGTCCGAGCGATGACAAGGCGACGAGACCGAAACCAAAAGCATGACAATCTTCTTGGGCGGTGGCGGGGGGGGGCCTCGGGTCCGGTCCCCTATGGCGCGGCACGTGTTTTAGGAGGCTCGACCGGCGAGCCAGCGTCTTGCAGTGGGTATCCGCCTGGCCGGGCCTTGGCGCGCAGGGATCGGTGCATGCGTGCTGGAAGGAACGTGGAGAAGTCTTTGCAGCAGCTGTCACAGACGATGCCCGGCACGGGAAGCGAGAAAGCGAGGGTGCTCCAGCTTCGCACGAGAGCACGGCGGAATCGCACTTGCAGGACGGACCGCTACCGCAGGACAAGGGATCTCCCCCTCGGTAGCTTCGCACTGTGGGCCACGGGGCTGCTAGCCCCCCACCACGTGTGCTTCGGGGGGGGGGGCGGCACCGTAAGTAGAGCCGATTTGGGCGAGGCCAAACACATTGGTTCGAGCCGATTGGGGGGCTGGAGCAGCGGAGGGAGGACCAGGAGGGAGAGAGGATGCTGAGTAGCCTGAGGAGGTTTCGAGAAGGGAGGGAAAAAAGAGAGGAGCGACAGGAGGCAGGCGAGGGGCGGGAGGGACAAGCATCAGGACCCAGACCCCCGACGTATGTTTGTGTTGACCACGTTGTCCCCCAGAGGTCTGGCCCCCTTGCTGGAGACTGGCCTCTCACTCCGGGCGAGGCCCCCCCCCCTGAGGCAGACAACATGGCCCAAAGCCTCTCGGCGTGACTTCTGCAATGACGCGACGGTCGATGATCCTCAGAACGTGTGTTAGAGCCAACGTGGGTTTGTCATACGACGCAGGTAATGCAATGATCTACTGGTGGAGCATTGGGCTAACGCACGTCCTGGGTACCTATACGACCACCCTTCGGGTGATAAGGAGGTTCGGGGGGGGAGGAACCAACGTCTCACTCTATCGGTCTCACTATCGATCTCACTATCGATCTCGCTCGATCGATCTCACTCGATCGATCGACCGAGATCTATTTCATTCGATCTCAGATCTCACAATCGATCTCACTATAGATCCCACTATCGATCTCGCATGTCATCTCACATTCAGTCTCACTATCGATCTCACTATCGATATCACAATCGATCTCACAATCAACATCATCATCATCACCAACAACATCAACGTCATCAATGTCATGAACATCACCATCATCATCACCATCACCATCATCATCATCATCATCATCATCATCATCATCATCATCATCATCATCATCATCGGGACACCATCATCATCATCACCTCATCACCATCATTATCAACGTCATCATCATCACCATCATCATCATCGGGACACCATCATAATCACCATGATCATCATCAATATCATCACCATCGGGACACCATTATCATCATCGGCAACTCAACATAATCACCATCTCATCATCACCATGAACAACATCATCATCATCAACATCGGGACACCATCATCATCATCATCAGCATCATCATCAGCATCATCATCATGATCAGCAGCATCATCATCATCATCATCATCATCATGAACATTATCATCACCATCGGGACACCATCATCATCACCATCATCACCATCATCATCTTCATCATCGGGACACAATCCTCATCAACATCAGCATCGTCATCATCATCACCATCATCAGGCCACAATCATCATCATCATCACCATCAACATCAGCATAATCCACATCATCAACATCATGATCGGGACACCATCAACGGTATCATCATCATCATCATCATCATCATCATCATCGGGACACCATTATCATCACAATCATCATCATCATCAACCTCATCATCATCATCATCGGGGCACCATCATCATCATCTCCATCATCATCACCATCATCATCTCATCATCATCTCATCATCGTCAACACAGTCAGAATCATCAACACCATCATCATCATCATCATCATCATCATCATCATCATCATCATCGGGACACCATCATCATAATCAACAACATCATCTTCAACATCATCATCGGGACACCATCATCATGACCACCATCACCATCACCGTCACCATCGTCATCATCATCATCATCATCATTATCATCATCATTAACATCGTCAACAACAACATCATCATCATCATCATCATCGGGACACCATCATGATCACCACCATCACCATCACCATGATCATCATGATCATCATGATCATCATGATCATCATCATCATCATCATCATCAGCATCATCGACATCATCATCATCACCATCATCATCATGATCGTCATCATCATCGTGACACTGACGGGACACCGGCGGGACACCGGCGGGACACCGCGGGCCACCGGCCCCCGGAAAGGAATCATTTGGTCCGGCCCCGCCTCAGCCGGAGGCGGGACACCGGCGGAACACCGCGGGCCACCGGCCCCCGGAAAGGAATCATTTGGTCCGGCCGCGCCTCAGCCGGAGGAGACTTTCTTCTCGCCCGCCCACGCAGCTTCGCCTCGCCCGCACGCACGGCACGCACGAACACGAAACCGAAACCGATTCCCCGGTAGGGGGGCTCTCCGTTCCACTTCGATCTCACCCCCTCACCTCCGATCATCGCGACGGGGCCTGAGGAGGAAGAGCACGAGGACGAGGACGAGGACTCCAACGCCGACACCGCCTCTAGAAAGACAGGAACAAACACAACAAACCAAAAACATTCACATCAACTTCTGGCGCTCCGCGCGAATTTCTTGGATCTGCGCCGGAAGCGCTGCGGGGGATGGGGCCCAGCGCGGATGCAAGGAATCCGCGCGGAGCACCAAAAGATTATATTTATGGAGTTTGTTCTTCTTCGAGCCTCCTCCTCATCTTCCGCTGACGACAACGACGGCGACGGCGACGGCGGCGGCAACGGCAGCGGCGGCAGCGATGGGCGACGACGGCGACGTCAAGCAACGACGACCACGGCATCGACCACGACGACGACGACGACGACGACGACGACGACGACGACGGCAAAGGCGGCGGCGGACACGGCCACTTCGAGCAAAAAGACGACCACGGCATCGACCACGACGACGACGACGACGACAGCAGCGGCGATTGCGACACCGACAGCGGCGGCGGCGGCGGGGGGCGGCGGCCCGCCCCCGCGGCCTTTGAGGGGGACCACGGCGCGCCCTCGCTGCGCGGCGTGCCCGGGATCTTCGCCGTGCCGCGGCCGCGCTGCGGATGCTCGCCGCGGGCCTGCGGCGCACGGCGACGACCACGACGACGTCCACGTCGACGACAACGACAACGACAACGCACGACGACGAGGGCGGCGGCGACGCCGACGATGACCGCCACGTCCTGCCTCCTCCTCTCCCCCAACCCTCCCCCTTCGAACTCGTTCCCCGCCCCTCGCCCTCCTGCTCGTCGACCTCCCTCCCTGCCCCTCCGGAGGAGGATGAACAGAAGAAAAAGGAGGGAGGAGGGAGGAGGAAGAGGAGACAGGAGGAAAAGGATGAGGAGAAGGAGGAGGAGAAGAGCAGGGAAAGGAGGAGGGAGGAGGAGGAGGTGGAGGAGGACGAGGAGGACGAGGAGGAGGAGGAGGACGAGGAGGAGCAGTCGCCCTCCTCCTCCTCCTCCTCCTTTCCTCCCTCCTCCCTCTGCTTCCCTCTCCTCTCTCCTCTCTCCTCTCTCCTCTCTCCTCTCTCCTCCTCCTCCTGCTCCTCCTCCTCCTCCTCCTCATCCTCTGCGCGCCTCTCGCGCCAGCTGCCGCCCTTGTCCTCCTCCTTCTCCGCCTTCCCCTCTTCCTTTCTGCTGCGGCTGCTCATGGTGGCCAAAGAAACCCTGTGGCCATGCAAACCTGTTCGGCCCCTCCCACCCGGCAAAAACCTGGGCGGGAGGGGGGGCCTCATTAGGAAAGAGGTGTAAGGCAAGAGGTAGGGCAAAATTGTGGGGCTCAACCCCAGGAGAAGAAAGAGGAAGGACATGAGGCACCAACATCACCATAACATCCGACGGGAGGGGGGGAGAAGAGGTTAAAGTAAGCGGTAAGGCGCGGACAGGCGGCCCTTACATGGGCCCCCCCCTCCCCATTTGGGTCCCCTGGCCTCTTGGGGTCGGCGCCCTGGGGGCGCCCCCCTGGGTCCACCCTCTTGGGGCGCCTGCATGGTCAGAGACTAGGTAGGGTGGGCGAGATGGGCGCTGAAAGTGTCCGTAGTGCCCTGGGGGCTGACAGTTAAGGGCGCTGCAAGGAGGCTGGTGGAAATCAGCGAGTGGCGACTGGCCCAGATGGCCTTAGCAGGATGCACGGACGCAGGAAGAAGGGCTGTACTGCAGCCCGGGTGGCAGTGGCAGTGCATAAACCAAACATCAGTGAGTGAGGGTAGAAGGTGGTGGGTGAGCAGGGTGAAAAAGTTGGAAAAATTAGCGGGGCCCTTCTGAGGGTGCCGCGGTGCGGCGCGGCCGAATGCAAGGGCCTCAAGCCCTGCAGTTCGACCCCCCCCCCCAGCTAGCAAACGCCATCCTGGCTGGTACACTCCGCCCCCGAAGTGGTGGTAGGGTACCCAGTCCAAGGTGACGTCTGCTGTCTCGGGGGGGGGGGGGTCACCTTGTGCGGATCTGGTTTGCCTTCGGCTTCCCCCGGCGAAGGCAGCATGCTGCAACCCTCGCCGGGGGGAGGTGCAGGGGGGCAAAGAGATACATGCCATCTGTCTGCAGGACTCGAGCCACGGCAGCATGGCCAACGCCGTGCCCCCGACGGCGTGGCGCCCCCATCCCGCCCACGATTCTCCCGCCCGCCCCGATTCCGCACGGGGGGGAGCGCCGGTTCGCGGGGTGAGGCGCGAGGACCAGGAAGGTGGAGAAGATTGGGGAAGGCAACTGGGATCCGATCGAAGACGAAATTGCTGTAGGCAGTGCGGTTGAAGTAGTCGACGTACTCTGCGCCTCCATCGTGGAATTATTGCCGCCGTTCGTCCGTGCTCTACCGCTTGGTGAGGGAGATGGGATAGTACATGCGCGTGTTCTGAGATGTGGAGCTCGCACGGTCAGCCGCAGTAGTGTCGGTCCGACCCTGAGGCATGGCCTCAGTCTAGTGGCGTCCAGGTGGGGTAAGCCTGGTTCGCTCAGAGTAGGTCGAGTCGTGGGAGCCCGAAAAAGATTCAGAATGTGAGTCGAAGAGGTCGGTTGCAACGGAGCCAGTGGTCGGAAGGAGCGCGGTGGGTGTGGCGCCGCGACTGCGTCGGGCGCGTGGGCACCACGTTCGGCCGTCCAGGCCTGTGTTGGTGATGGCGAGGATGGCGACCGCCAGTGATTAGGGGCGTTGTTGGTTAACGTAGTCGTTGAGCTTGTCGGGGGACTTGGGGGCTAAGTCCCTGACCGTGGTGATTTCCTTCCGGATGTCGAAGGCCTTGTGGTAACTGACATGTGGTTCCCCTACCATCGTGGTGGGGGTGACGAGCTTCTCCTGGATCTGATGGCGCGGCGGTGGGAGCGGTACTCGGTGATGATGTCTGAGAACAGGGCTCGTTTGGTACTTCGCATGTTGTTGGGCTGAGTGATGGTACCGCGTGCCCAAGAGGTCGTTCTTGTTGTAGTAGGGCACATTAAAGATTGTGACATCGTCGCCCTCGTTTACCGTGCTGGCGCCGTCGGCGATGGAGTCCTCTTGCTTGGTGTGGTCCGAGTAGCGTATGGTAGCTCCCATGGGGATGGTGGTAGTGTCAGGGTTGAACTTCTCGTAGGTGATCGTCGCTTGGGGAAACCATCCAGTGGGCTTATGTGGCTCTACTTGGATGGAAGGTGGTTGGTTGTCCTTAGCAGCGCGAGTGCTGGTACGATACGTCGAGTCGCAGCTGCTGGGTGCGGTAGTGTGCGTGCATTGTTCCCCTGCATCGTGCTGCTGCTGTGCGATCTTGCCCTCGCAGTCGATACGGTTAGTTTGCTGTTCTGCTGCGTCTTCCATGACGGTCGGCAGGGTAGGTGGAACCCCTTGCATATCACTGGTTTCGTTCCTGAGGTGGGCCCACTTCGAGGGGAGGCTTGGTGGGCGGGGTTGGAAGTCGCCTGCAAGGGAGTGGTTGCTGGCATTGTGCTGGCGGTTGTACTGCCACTGCTAGTAGGCATGCCTGTGTCAGACAGGTCGGCTGCGTTGCTGATTGCGGTCGTCATTGTAGTTATCTCCTTGCGGGTGCGTTCTCCCTGCGAAGTCGGCCCCCGCGTCGGTGATATCGCAGTATGGATCTCGCGCTCGAAGATGCTGCCGTCGCCGCATGGTGCCAGCATTGGTTTGGGGCTGCGCGCCTGCTCGGTGCGATGGATGATGTGGCATGCGCGTGGAGGGCGCGGGCCCGCTCTCGTGCAAGTGCGACCACGGGCAAGTCGCTGCCGAAGATGAGGAATGGATTGGGGCCCTGGTGGACCTCGAGGTGGGAGAAGGATGCGCCTCCTGCGCGCTCGCTGCACTATAGATGTGCTCGGCCGACCCATGCGCGAGCGCTTTGTTCCCGTTGGTAGTCGGTCCGCATCGCGTCGAGTAGGTCGCGGATAGTTTGCGTCATAGCGTTGTCGGCCTGCTCTCGTTTTCACTGGGTGCTGTAGAAGGGAGGTCGTTGGGGGATGGAGGGTGCATCGGCCTGAGGCGGTGGTGGACGCAGCCGTCCTTGTTGATGCCGAAGGCCTCGATGTTCTGGTGGGTTAGCTGCTGAATGCAATATGGTTCGCAGTTGACGTCACCGGGCGGCGCCTGTCTCGAGGTAGGCGAGGCTTCATGTTACGTCATGGTGCGCGGTCCAGCCCGGTGGCAATTGGGCGCGGTGGGATGGGTCAAGTCGTGGCGTTCCGCCTTGCTTGTAATTTGGTGGGGCGCATGGGCTGCGGAAGTATCGGTTGTCCCCTGGCGTCGTTGTAGTGACTTGTATTGGGGCTCTGCCTGGGGGTGGGCCAGGCGAAAATGGCGGCTGGTTCGGCGCTGAGTCGTGTTCTGGTTGCATACGAGGTGGACGACCACCGGCATAGGTGGCGGGAACGTTTGTTGGATCTGTGGTGTGGATGCTCGCTGGATGAATTGCAGGTCGGTATTTGTGGGAGTAGTGCGAGCTGGTCGCTGCGCTTGGCGTGGTCGAGCTGCTCGAAAAGCCGCATGCCACTCGGGCACGCAACTCTGGGTCCAGTTGATGGGCTGAAAGCCTGCGTCCCGTATTTGTGGGCAGTGTTGAAACAGGTGACGTGTACTGCGGCTGCCCTCGTCAGCGATGAGGTATTGCTTTGCAGTGTGTTCCTCGTGCTCGGGTAGCTTGTCGATGTCCGAAGCCTTTTATCTACATGGTGCCGCCTAGTAGGATGTCGGTAGGTTGATTGTACTTCGGTGCTTCGTAGTCAGGTCGCTGTTTATCTCAATGAGTGCATCTCCGTCGGGGGTGGATTCGACTTGGTGGACGATGATCTCCCGCTTGGTGGCCTCAGCGTGGACGTTGGTGGTTCCGTCGGTTCTTGCTGTACATGTCTCCGATGTTGTGGCGAACTCCTGCAGGACCTGAGCTGGGTATTCGATGAGGGCGTTGTCGACGATGGCGGGCCGTGTGGGAAGGTCGCGGACGGGGGCGCTGAGCTGTAGGGTCGTCGCGGGGTCGATCCCTTCTGAAGGTAGTGGTGGCGTTCGGTCTGTGCCCGCCCAGGCCGATCGGAGTGCGACGTCCCGTTGGTGGCGTAGATATACTGGTACTCGCTGTCCTCTGAGGCCCGTCTCGTCGCAACGTAGTCCACCGATTGTTTGTGGAGTGCTGTGGTGGTGATCGATAGGGAGGATGCAGTTGTCCGTACATGGACGCAGTCCTCCTCCTCCGCGGGTTTCCCCGATGTCTCTTGCACATGCGGAAGGTATCCCAATCTCGGAGGTCGGGTGCAAGGTGCCTTAGATGTCGGTGATCACCACGATGTATACTTCTGGCTGTATCGCTCGACGTTGCTGTGTATTGTTTTGCGCTCGATCTCTTCAAAGTTGCGGCGCTTCTCTATGCCCTTCCTTTTGAAGGTGGGTAGGGCCTGAAGGTTCGCGACAGGCTCCTCGTCGTTGTTGTTAGACGGTCGTGCTTGTAGCAGTGGTGGGTCAGTGCTTGCCAGCTCCTGGATGTCGTGCCACTCCAAGTTGTGAACGGGTATCTTCTTGGGGTCGCTGTCGTTGGCGGCGTCTTCTGGTGTGCGATACTCTCCGGCGGGAAGGTCGTGCGGGCACTTATCAGTTCGCTATGGCTTCGGCGGGAAGGTCGTCATGGCTTCCTGGGGTGGACCTTGTCGGTTCTGAAAACCTTGACCCCTGCCTCATGCGCGTGATGTGCGAGAAAGCTAGCGTGGTCGTCCATCTCCTCTTGGTAGGGTGGTAGTGGGGTGGTAGCGATCTCATCCTCGAACTTCTGCTGGGCGCTTGGACCCCGCAGCTTCGCACGGTCCATGGGCGCGCCGCATCTTTTGACATTGACCTTCTCAACGTAGGCCAAGTCGGCGATGACCTGGTACTGGTCAACGTACTTGTGGTGGGTGCCGAAACCGTCGAGGACTGCTATGTGCTCGACGGTCGGCTCTTGTCCGCATGATGCGGTCCGCATGATAGGCAGATGTAGTCGATGCGTTTCTTGATGTTCTTCCCCGCGTATGTGTGACTCGGTCCATGTGTCTCTGTAGTAGGTGTTGGCGGCGAAGAAGTTGTGCTGCTGCAAGAAAGCGTGAAAGAACTTTCCCCCCTGTTTTCTTCTTCCGGTTGGCCTTCATCTCCGAAGTGGGGGAGGTAACGCTGCCAATAGTGCCATTGGCGTCAATGAAGATGATGTCGCAGTTGTGATGTTCCGTCTTCACACTGATGTTGTCCCAATACTGGTTGCAATCGTGGTCGTCGGTATGTGCGTGGTGTTTGTGCGGCCACTGTGGTCCGCTTGGAACCAGGTGCGGTAAACTTGACGATAAGTAATGCCGGGGTCTGGGTCATTATTTTTCCAATGGTTGGGTTTGGAATATACCTGTGTGCCGTTGTCGTCGTGGCAAGGGAAGTGCGTATTGACTAGTAATGGGCAATTCAAATTGTGATGTTTCGCGTCTGCTTGGGATGATGGTGTACTGGTCGGCGGCGTGGGTTCTTTGTGGTAGCCTTGACCCCATGCATCCCAATGATGTGTAGCTCTATGCCAGAGAACTGCTGTCTTATAACTGTGATTGTGGTTACCTCTCTGTTTGTCGCGTCCCTGCTTCTCTGAACCCTTGCAAGAGCATGCGCTGTAGGTGCAGATGCGGATGTCGATCTTCTTGTCGCTGGAATTCTTGGTGTACAGTGGTACGACATGGATCGGCCGAGCTGGGGGTGCCTCCAGTCCGTCCTTATTTTGCCGTCCGCTTATTGTAACCGCTCCCATTGTCGTTCTGTGTCGGCGTGGAAGGCTCTTGTCCACTCTTTTTGTTGACATTGCTGGTGGTTGCTGGGCGTTGCCGCGTACATCTTGGCGAGACTGTTTGCGAGCTCGTTCCAGAGATGTCCTGTGTGTGCTCGTACGTGGTCAGTGTTTAGATTTACCACCTCAGCGGTGAGGTCGTGTAGTAGTCGTACCAAGTCGGTCACTTGATTGGGTTTCTCAGGTTAGAAACTGCCCTTGGCCCTTGGCGAATCCTCTGGCAATCATGGAGCTGGTATGTACAATGACGTCAGGTTTGCGAGAAGCGTTGTGGAAGTATTCTCCTCCTCTCTCCTCCACCTCCTCGTCCTCCTCCCCTCTTCTCCTCCTCCTCCTCCTCCTCCTCCTCCTCTTACTCCTCCTCGTCTACTTCTTCTCGTCCTCGCCCTAGTCATCGTCTTCCCCTCCTCTTCCCTCTGCCTTCTCCCCTAACTAGTCCTCCGCGGGTGGAGGGAAGAAGAGGGGAGAAGGGGGATAGAGAGGGAGGATGAGACCGAGGAGGGTCGAGAAGATGGCAAAGACGAAGGAGAAGCAGGGGGAGGAGATGCAACCATCGTGATTTGGGCGCCCGAGTTATCCGGGATAACTCGGGTCCGGGGTAACTCGGGTTTGGATTCCCGAAAAAGGAACCCGAGTTATCCCTGACCCGAGTTACCCCTGATGATTCGGGGCTCTTGGACGCCCGATTTATCCGGGGTAACTCGGGTCCGGGGTAACTCGGGTTTGGATTCCCGAAAAACGAACCCGTGTTATCCCTGACCCGAGTTACCCCTGATGATTCGGGGCTCTGAGTGATTTCGCACAAAGAATCTGGGATGGCCTGGCCACGGCGAGCCTCGTCCACGAACCTGTCCTCCGACTTCGATCTGCAAGCCGGCGGGACAAGAAGGCGTAGCCATATAACCTGGTGATAATAGTCCCGCGGGGACAAGAAAGTTCGGGTCCAGGCGGGAGAATGATTTTTCCAGGAAGCATTGATGTTAGGTCATCTGGATCGCGTTTCGCCTGCGACATCCTCACAATCAGAGCTGCGATAGGAGCTTTGAAGGGGATCATAAAGTTCGGCCTCCTTGCCTGCTGTCTCAATTGAACCACCTTCAATCCCATGGGTAAAGAAATACAAAGAGAAAGGAAAGATGCTTCATTGTCCGGGGGATGCGATTAGCCCCCCTCCTGTTGGATGTAGCCGGGGATAGGTGGAGGGCAAGACCGAGGCACTGGGGGGTGTGCCTGGTGGTCGCGAGACAGACCCAGGTGGTGTGTCTGGCGCCTTCCAACTGGGTGCGTGGACGACCCTCCAAACAGGCGCACCCCTTGTGTAGCGCGCTGAAGGTTTTCGACAGACACGCCTGACTCCGACTGATGTTTATTCCGAAAAGGGGGAGAGACATCCACAACTCCGACGTCGTGTGCTTTCACAACGTGGCTGCCCAGAGGTCTGCATCCCTTCCCGGGGACCGATTTTCTCATCCCGAAAACAAGGGGGACAGTCCAGGGGCCTCGTGAGAGCCCCCTGAAGCCGATGACTGCTCAAGACCTTCCGTTTGTTCTCTAACCTTGTGACCCCGGTCAATGGACATTTTTCTGTTCAGCAAAAGGTGCCTCCGCCCTTTCGCAACTCCTGGGAATTGCGCCCAACAAGGGGGCACTGATCCAGCTGACACACGAGCGACCACGGGAGCTGCCAGAAGAGGCTCTGCTCAAAACCTTCTGCCTTGGGCCTTCGTGCTTTCCTGATGCGAGGACGTCAGGGCCCCGGAGCAGGAGGCACGACGGGGCAACCACAACGGGCCAGATCCGGCAGCTGGGGACGAGGACGGGCCCTGCCGGCTGCAAGAGTGACTCCAGGCAAGTGTGACCTTCGTTCACGCCCCTCGAAACCGATGTTCACCACGTCGAGAGCTCTCGAACCTTTCCCCAGACCGGGCCCTCCATCCCGAGTGGCTCGTGGACGGTGCCAGGGCCCAGCGAGGGTCCGCAGGGGCCTAAATGACAGAACCCGCCTCCCTGGCGAGCACCCCTGGCGACCCCTGGGGCTAGAGGCCTCCTAGATGGGGTCTAAGTAGATGGGGTCCGAGGATCGCGCCGCATCGCCTATGCATCGGCGATGCACCGGCGAAGTCGGCGATGCACTGGCGAAGTCGGCGATGCGTCGACGACGTCGACGTGAAGCAAATCGGGCACCACACCGGGCCGCATCGGCGATGCATCGACGATGCAACGCGATCCTCTGATCCCATCTACTCGAGGAGGAGGAGGAGGAGGAGGAGGAGGAGGAGGAGGACTGGCGAGCACCACTGGCGACCCCCGCGGCGGCCTGCGCCTCGGGAGCGGCGGGGGGCCTGTCCGCGGCGCTCCCCGGCGCCTCCGAGGTGGCGGCCGGCGGCGGCTCGGCGGGCGGCGGCTCGTCGGCGACCTCCGGGGGGGGGGGGGGCGCCGAGAGGGGAGCGCGGCCCAGGTGTGGGCCCCACTGACGGCGGCGGGTGCACGACTTGAGCAGGGACCGACCGTCCCGGCAGTCCTGTGGTCCTACCACGAAATGTTCTTAGAACCCAAAAATGTTCTAAGAACAAAAACACTGTTCTTAGAACATAAGCCCGATGTGTTAAACCAAGACAGCCCCAGCCAGTAGTTTTCTGAGAACATTTCATGTAAACCAGAACAGGTTCTAGGGCTATCGGCACGCCAGGACGCTTCGCCACTGCTTGAACAACGGCGAGCGCGGAAACATGGCCACCGCCACCGACTCCGCCACACACGCAAGAGTGACCCTGGGCAAGAGTGGCCTCCGGTGCGCGGCTTTTGGGGAACCGCGGGGCCAAGCCCAGGCGCGCAAGATACACCAACCGCACAGCCTTCGGCGATCGGGGGGCCCCCATGGGCCCGCACCGAAGGTCACTCTGGCGAAAGGTCACTGTTACGTGTAGTCGACCGAGGCCAACGTCGGCGACAACCGGCCGCGGAAGAGATCAGCCTGGCGAAACTAGCGGGGCAAAACATACCGTCGGGAAAAAACAACGGCCGTGAGCAAAACCAGCCGCCGCGGCGTCCGCCGTGGTCGTGATCGCCGCCGCCGCTGCGGGGGGGCGCCGCAACCCCCGGCGATGCGGGGCCAGCCGTGGATCCGATCAGTCGTCGCGTCATCACCCCTCGAACACACAAGCCTCTCAAGCTCACTGACCCCCTCAAGAGAGACGAATATTCTAGACAACAAGAGCGATTCGGGACATTGGCAAGTTCCGCGTGAGGCTTGGAGTTCTCCCCGGCAGTCGGCGCTGCGGCGCAAGCGATCCCAAACATGGTTGCTGTCGCAATATTGACATGTTCCTTTGAAGTCGCGCACGGGTCCCCATTCATCTGGTTTATGACGCCGTTGCCCTCGCCCGCAGGCTTTCATCGCCCTTGCGCGTTCATGGAATGCTGAAACCAAGACGCCGCCAGCTCCGACTGACCATGTTGGCAAATCCGATATGTAACAGAAGTTCAGTCTCTCCTCGCCGTTGAATGCTTTTGTGGCGACGCTGAAGTAATCAATATCTTGAACCTGAGCCCCAAGCAACTTCAGTTGCAAATGTTGAGAGCTTAACTACCTTGCAGCTCCCACTGACTCTGGGGTTGGGATTATTCCCAGGTCTTTGAGGCGTGGTAGAACGCCAAGTGCTGTCTGGTCGGGCTTCTGTAGTCTTCTAAGGACCCTCACCCTCCTGAGGAGGAGGAGGAGGGAGAAGGAGTCCTCCTCCTCCTGCAAGAAACGATGGCCCGCTCAGGCAACGAGCACTGGAGAAATTGGATGAATACCAACCGGTTACTGCGATTCGTTACAGCAAGGCGTCGCTGCAGCGTGCCACAGAGGGTTGCGACTCGGACTAGGTGGTCAGGCGGCCACCGTACCAAGGGACCAGAGAAGAGACCCCTCCTCGTCCTCTTCTCCCCCATCAGGCCTTCGGCGCGCTGGCTGTTTCAATGGGCCCATTGAGCCATGACAGTTGAAAGCTGCATCGGCACGATCAATCATTTCAGGCTCAATTGTTCCCTAAACTGCTTGTCTGTCCCTCTCTCCTCCTGCTGTTGGGGGCATCACGCTTTTTACAAGGATGGCACACCAACCGCATATGGAGCCCGCGGCGAGCTTCGCGCACCTGGCGTCCGCTTTGGTACTATTTGGTGGGAGGGCGGGTGGGAGTGAGCTAGACGGCTTGCGTGCGGAGAGGGTGTCTTGACCCCCCCCCTACCCCCTCTCCTTGACCTGGACGGGACCAGTCGCGAAGGGTCAGGGCGTCCAAAACGACCTCGGCGAGGAAGCCCAAATCAGTGTTTGTTTACCAAGGTGTTGGCACCATTTTGGCCTCATGGGGGGGCAAACCTAATTAAAGCTCCCCTCCTGTTTGATCAATGTCCTCCAAGATGACCCCAAGAGCGCTCCCAATAATCCCAAGAGCGCTTCAAGAGGGCCCCGAGAGGCGCCCAGATGGCCCCAAGAGGCCCCAAGAGGCGCCCAAGAGGCCTCTGAGAGGCTTCCAAGAGACCCCCAAAGAGGCCCCAGGAAGCTCCCCGAGGCACCCAAGACGCTCTCAGAGATCTCCAGGACCGCCCAGAGGCGCTCTAGACGCTCCAAGAGGCCTCCACTGGGGGACCCTTCCCCTGCGTGTTGCCCACTTCCCTGATCGAGGCAACTCATCTGGGCATCGTTTCTGGATGGGATGGCGGGGTTACGCGAAGCGTCTAGAACTTGGGCGTTCGTGTTGGGCTGGGGTGGCTTGGTGGGTGGTGAGTGCAGGGATCCGCACTTCCGAGCTCCCACGACGGCCGAGGCAGGCCACCACGACCACCAGGAGGACCGAAAAAAGGTTGCAAACGGGGTGGCCCAGGAGACTGCCGAGACTGCCCAGGAGGGCGACCGGAGACCCCCCAGCATGGCCTGGAGAGGTCAGCATCAGGTGCTTCCTGCAGGTGTTCCAGGAGATCTGGGCGGCTTCACCTTGTCACACCTCCTACACCAGGAGCTCTACCACAAAGAACCTGAGACCCCAGCACGTCCATTGATGCTTTGTGTGGGAACGTCACGCTTTCCATAGCAACACCATCGAAACCCAAGGAACCCAGGGCACACTGGAGGCAAGCAGGGTGTTTCTTGGCATGGGTTTCCATTGTACAGCTCCAGACGTTGCTAGGAGATGGAGGTCGCGAGGGGGCAACCCTGTTTCCAAAGCCAGGTCCCACTACTCGCTCGGCCAGCACGCCTGATCCGTCAATAGCAATCCGTACGACCCCCATTCGCAAGAAGCTCGGATCATGGGCTTGCTCCTATTGACGATTGGGCTGTGTAGGTTTGCTCTGGCCCTATAGCACTACCCCCTCCTCCGTCGTCCCAGAAATACAGATCGCGTTCGCTGCCCCTCAGCGAGCTTCAACCCGGAGGCTCCAAGAGAGCTTCCCGAGCGCAGGATCCCCGCAAGCCTTGATGCTTGACTTCTGGACGCGTGATGTTACATATCCCGCTGACCAGGGCACCTCGCTTGGGCGACCGTTCCTGGATGGGATACTGGGGGGCCGCGAAGCTTCAAGAATTCCAAGAAACCAGAAACTGAACACTCGATCCTCCTCCTCCCCCACCCCAGGGCTCATGACCCATGGAATCCACTGTCACAGAGTTCCGCACAACATCCGTTGGCAGGCTGCACTTAAGCAAAACCTGGATCATTGCAAGGCTCGTGGGAACCGAATCGCCAGCCGCGTCTTGAGCATTGGCGACACCGGCCTGGCTGGCATCCCTCCGAAGCGAGCAGCCTCCCCCTGCGGGGCCGGCACTTCTCTGCACAGGGCTGACGCCTCTCCACATTGTTGCGTTGGCCTGGCTCTGCTCGGTGAAGGTCGTAGCGCCAGGGTGACAAACTGACACGCGAGAGACATCCGACGTAGGCGATGCGGCCGCGTACGGCTGCAAACACGTGCTGGATGAAGGAAGGCCTGCAGCCTTGGAGAGGGAGAGGATCCCACCAGGGCGTAGAGGCACTGCGAGAGCAGGCCGCTGCATGGGGAGATGCGCGTCGCCCCTCCGCCCTCCTCATCCCTCCTCCCCCCCAGACCTTCTCGGGCACGTCCGCCCAGCTCGTGCGCCGCTGCGTGGGGCCCCCGTTGGGCTCGGCGCCGAGCACCCCAGGCTTCTCGAGCCCCTGCGTGTCGAGCTCCTGCGTGACCTGCGGTGCGCAGCCGCCGCCGCCGAGACCTCCAGGCATATCAAGGCAGAAATCGCGGTGGCCGAGGTCGGCGACTCCGAAGGGTGTGGTCTGTAAGGTTCGGTGGCAAATCATGGGAGCCTCCCATACCGTCTCGCTCTTGCGAATCGACGCTAAGTTGACAATTCAGATGCTAAAACGACGCTGATCGACGCCAGCCGACGCTAAGTCGGCGCTAGCCCATCGACTCCCAGACGCTAATCGACGCTGATCGACGCTAGAGACGAGGGCGCTAGAGACGAGGGCAGCGCGGGTCGCCACGAATCCTCAGGACGCAGCGCAGCTCGCAAACCGCACCCCGCAGGCATGAACTGGACCGAATCGAGACATCGAATCGGATCGGAAACTACGCGTCGGATCGCCAGCGAATCGCCCCGAACCGCATCGACATCGGCTCGCCGCGCCAAGCTCCGGCCGGCACCGGCCGATGCCGGTGAAAGGGACCGCACCGCATCGAAGCGGGATCGCGGCCCCAGCTTGCGAGTCGAGTCGCAGCGCGTCGAATCGCCGGGGGGCCCTGGTAACCACACCCCTGCCAGTTGCCAGGCCTCCGCAGCTCCAGCGGCCGGGGGCCGATCTCGGGGCCCCCGCGGGCCAGTGGCGCCCCGCGCGACGAGAGTGGTCCCCAGGATGGAGGAGGAGGAGGAGGAGGAGGAGGAGGAGGAGGAGGAGGAGGAGGAGGAGGAGGGAGGAGGGAGGAGGAGGAGGAGGAGGAGGAGGAGGAGGGAGGAGGAGGGAGGAGGAGGAGGAGGAGGAGGAGGAGGAGGAGGAGGAGGAGAAGGAGGAGGGTCGGAGGCGGTCGCGAGCTCCGGGGCCCCGCGCCGTGGGCAGAAGCACGCGGCGCGGGAGGCGCGGGGGCGGAGGGGCACGCCGCGCCCCGCGTCGCGGCGAGGGAGGAGGAGCACTCTCTCCAGGCGGGAGGGGCTGCCAGGCTCGTCCCCATCCCTGCGGAGGTCCCCAGCCGTTCCTGGTTGCCTGCGAAGGCCTCCGACGCACAGGAAGGGCCACACATGTCTAAGCACCTCCACAATCTCGGTCCTCCTCCTCCTCCTCCTCCTCCTCCTCCTCCTCGTCTCTTGTCATCTCCTCTCCTCTTCTCTCCTCGCCCCTCCCCACCGCTCCTCTCTCTCATCATCCACCTTGGCCATCCCTGCGCGCGGCCCACACCCTCTTCCGCCATGCGGTGGGAAGCGGGGCCGCGCGCTCGCGCGAGCGAGCGCACCACGTTCGCACTGGGTGGGACCCGCAGACTCGTTCGGGCTGGCCAGCTAGATCATCCCTCGTGCTCCTCCTCCTCCTCCTCCTCCTCCCGCTCCTCCTGCTCCTCCTCCTCCTGCTCCTTCTCGTCCTCCTCCTCCTCCTCCTCCTCCTCCTCCTCCTCCTCCTCCTCCTCCCCAACCATCCATCATCATCCCTCGCTTCGCCCTTCCCGCTGCCCCTCCCAGCCCCGCCCTCCTCCCGCGACCCCTGGTTGAGGGACGACGATGGTGGGCTGGGGGACTGGCACAGCATCGACCAGGAATCGGCGACACATCGCTGGAATCGAGTGGCGATCGATAACCAGGCCCCCCCGATGGCAAAACCGAACGCTCCTGGGCGGCGTGGGCATTCCGGCCCCTATCGACGATCAATTTGCGATTGCCCTGATCTCACCCCCCTTCCTGACGTTGCCTCCCTGGATTTCGGGCAGTAGCTCGGCTCTGCAACGGGCGTTCGGGACGATCTACGTACTCCGGCACGCTCTCGGCGAGGCACAGCCGCCGGAGAGCGCGAGGCCAGAAAACCCGCTAGAACCTACGAAAACATCCGGACCCCATCGAATCTCGGGCACGAAGCTTTCCCACAAATCTTGGGGCACAAACCGTGGGCTGAAGACACGCGCAACCCTCGTGCACTTTTTTTGGTCCCGCAGTGGCAGCTCCTGGGCCGTGAGGCCCCTTTTCCTGCAACTTCTCTGCTGCCATCCACCCTCCCCACGTTCATTGCCCCCCCTTGCCGGCCTCCCGGCAGCACCCGAGGCTGCCCCGCGCCCCCGACTCGGGGGCGTCCAGGAGGGGCTGAAAAAACGCGTTTCGATTACAGAAAATATGTCGCTGATCAGCATCAGAGCGGTCGAAATCCCAAGAATTGTCGCATTCCTTTTCGT